AGCACATAGCTCACCTACGGAATCTTATCGGACCCGCTCCATACAATCAGGAAGCGCCTTGCTCCTAATCGTATTAGCCATAGCTATGGGCATAGCAATACTTCTGAGGAGACGACAAAAAAATATGGTAGTACTGAAGAATGTCATAAAAGAAACCGAGGACGCTTTCACTTCAAGAGTGGGAGTAGTTAACACGGGTAATCAATCATCCGACCAAAATATCACTTCAACGTAATCAAATATCGCTTCAACGTAATCTGCTGACGGCGCGTCTACAGTTTTGCACATAACACCAAAGAAAAGTTCAGTACTGCAATAATAACGGTTCCGGCCATATTGCTGAACGAACACTTATAGTCTTGCGCGTGACAACAATAAACCAAATACAAGACAATAAGCGGAATTGGTTCACGCGGCAAATAACGTGCAGCAACTAAAGTTAGCAAGCAGTGTAGGTATTTAGACGCTAGCGTCGCCTTTATGTAAATCAGTTGTAATAACTCTCCGTTGAGACCGGCTGCCCTTGTAAAGGGAAATAAAAAATTCAAAACGAAATTAACAGATCGTTTTACTTATATTATATTAAATTATTATGAACAATAATATGAGAAAGAAATGCTGTAGTTATAATTCTCATTTCTTTGTAATTTAACAGCTATGAAACATTTATCAAATATTTTAAGGTATTCGAGACGTGGTAGTGATACTTAAAAATAATTAATTTATCATCATTAATATGATTTTGATAGAACTAACAATAAAATTAGTGGGGCTCACTTAAATAATTTTGAATATACCTTACAGAAAATTGCCAGTTGTTGTTGAGCAACTATAAAGGTAGTGTCTTTTTTTTAATAAGTAAATTCCAGCAAATTGGTTTAAAAGTTTCGATTAAAAGTAAAACTGGTTAAATATTGGTTTAAAATGTGATAGTGACATGTGACATAGAACAGTTAGTGCATACACATCTCTTTATAAGACTAGAGTTCTGAGATTTAACAAAATTCTCTAAAGTGTAAATAAATACATACGTAAATATTTGAATTAATCGTTCCTAAAACTCGTATTAAAACGAACGACAGCATTTACATAAAATACGAAATGTATTCATGTGGCATGACCCCTCGCCGAGGATAAAAAGTATGCGAGACAGAATAATTCGCTAGGTTTGTTATGTCACTAGTGTAAATATCAGCAAAACGAAAAAGACGTCGTGAAAAATACGTTGGATTGTGGTAGGTACGAAAAACACTGCCAAACTGCTTGTTAAAAACCATTTTGGTTTGGTTCCTATAACATTAATGCTATTAGTAAAACATTGTCATTAATTGTTCAAAAATTCGTACCTAAGCATATCCCGTTCTGCTTGCCATTTTTCTAAGCAAATTTGTGCTGGTTCGCATTCATAATCCTGAATTTCTTCTATGAGTTGTGTTAGCATCTGTAGCCAATTTGCATTTCTTTTGAAATTAACATTGTTGAGAGTTTCAATCTCATGCTATTTAAAAGGAATATTCACAAATGTCACCAATAACCGTGATTAAGAAAAAAATAAATTTTATACCGTGAGTTCATTTATAATGGCACCAGTTCTCCAGCCATGCTCTAATGTTACATCAGCTAAATCACTATAGGGATGATCGCCAAAATATAGTACATTATGGCCACGCCACCCTGTTAAATCTTGCAGTTGTTTTACGGTTCCCTGAAAAGGAAACTGTTGCGATGAATTAAATTTTTAGTAAATGCCATTTTACCTCATAATATATTTTTCCCTTTTCCAATTTTGAAACCCGATCCCAAACATGTGAATTGGTCGTTTCATCATATAATCGGATGGGACGTGAATCATCTGTGAAAAATTTAGGTTTTCGCGCTTGAACTACTATAACGTCAAAGTGTTCGCGCCATTTGTCACCGGCCAATAAAGTCATTCCACAATTTCTGTTCACGAAAACAAATTTAGTAATGCATTTGATTATACTATGTAATTCTTACACAAAAGAAAATGGACTATTTGTTACAAGAAATAGTTTTTTGCCCGCATTTGCCAACTTTTTGAAATATTCAGGTAATCGAGAATTTTTCTCAATATAATCTCCAACATTTTTCATAACGATTTCGTGCATAATCGGATGACATGATTGCACTGATGATTTTATGTCATGAAAAAGAATTTCGGGATTGTAGTCGATATGATTTCTTTCAAAATACTCGGCTACATTGCATAAAAGACACATTTCGGGAACAGAGAACAAGTCAGCTAGCTGAACCATTTTCGCCTTGGCATTTGGCTTAAAAGCATATAAAACAAAATGTTGATTTATATGTTCAGAGTTTTTTAATTTTTAGGTTTAACTACCTGATGGTTTTTTGATTGGCCCTCAACATATGCGATAGGTAAAATTCGATTTTTATAAAGCCTTAGTACTTCTGCATCAGGGATTTTTGTGAGCCCACGATAAACAGACTCCAACTGTATTTGAAGAAATGAGTCTAGCTTTAAGAGCAAACCTTTCTCTATATCATAATGAAGGCCACGTACTGCAAACCGTGGAATGTACTCCAATTTAGAAATATTTTCGGGGTACTGAAATATTACTATTACATTTACATACCCATACAAGAGCAAGGAAGTAGAAAATAATACTTGCCTTAAATTTTTTAATCAATCTATCGCGGCCCAAATTGTATAGCAAGTCGTGTAAGCAAGGTTTATAGCACGCGAGCGTGTAGTCATAGTCGAAACCATACACATCAACTTCATCCAAATCCAGTTCATTGTTGGCAAATACACCGTAGGGATTAACATCTTTCGGAAGTTTCTTAGCTGTAAAAAATTTAAAAAAATTCTAAATATAGTTATAATATATATTACATTAAGGACATACATTTCCCAATATTATTAATTCAAATATCTTATATAAACAAGCAAGGAAGGGTTAGGTTCGGTGCAGGGTTGCAAATAAAGCATTCAAAAAATAATTGAATTAACATATTAATTAATTAATTAATAATTAATAAAAAATTTATTTTTAATCCAAAATATTTGGTTTAAAAAACTCGCAACCCTAGTTCGGTGTGTGTTGACAAAACTTTATAAGCCAAACCTCGAAGATACTAATAGCGCAAAACTTTGTTCCGTTATTTTCATTGGTTCTTAGTTTTTATACTGTAAAGTGACTGAATCATATAATAATTTAAAGTAATGTTATAGAGTTGTATTCCGATTTCGCACATTTTCAAACCATAATATGGATTTCAAGATAGTATTATGCACCACAGTTGATTTAAATCGATCGGATTCAGTTTAGACCATGCCTCTCCACACCTTGACGCTATGTTGCAAACATGAACTTTGTAGCTTTACTTTTACATTAGTTACAGCTCTATATAATTTTTCTCTTACGGCATTTGGCGGGAGTTAATATCGTTTACACGATATGAGTAAGATAAATTCAGAAGATTCACAGCATACCCTGAAATAGCGGACAACGTCGAATCCTGCAAAAGTTAACAGATTCTGAACACTGAACAGTTATTACGGCAATAAGAACAAGTAAGGAAGGGCTAACTTCGGATGTAACCGAACATTTTATACTCTCGCAAAGTCAAATGGTATACTAGTTTGAGATTTCTTTGTTTGATTGACTGATATTTTCGGTAGAAGGTCAACTATAGGCACTGGGGTCCACATATGTAGTACTTAGGGGCTTGAACAGTTTTGGTTCGATTTAGACAAGTTTTGGTCACAAGGTGGCATACGTTAAACGCATTATTCACGCAAAGTTTTACCTCGATACAATCATTGTTGCTTGGTTTGCATACTGGAAAGTGAAAGAATCAGATGGAATTTAAAATGGTGTTATATGGGAAATAGGCGTGGTTGTAGTCCGATTTCGCCCATTTTCGCACTATACATAGAAATATGAAAAGAACGTTATGCACCGAATTTGGTTGAAATCGGTTAAGCAGATCCCAAGATAAGGGGTTTCACCTAAAAGTGGGCGGTGCCACGCCCACTGACTAATTTTGAACAAGGTTCCCATAAAGTCATCTCATACCATCCCGAAGATAAAATGTAATGTCTCTGGCGTGTTCCGTGCTTGATTTATCGCGCTTTTAGTAGTTTTTAACAGTTCCGTTACATGGGAGTGGGCGGAGTTGCCGCCCGATTTCACCCATTTTCACACTGTAGGTAGAGGTTCTAAAAGCATTTGCTTCCAGTGAATTATTGCATTAGCGGTTTAGGAGATATGTACATTAAACCTATTAGGGGCGGGACCACGCCCACTTAAAAAAAAAAATTTTTAACGGCAGATAAGAGTCTTGTATCTTGTTGTGGAGCTTAGTTATGGCAATTTATTTGTTTTTGAATAATGGCGTTTTGTGGGCGTGGCAGTGGTCCGACTACGCCCATCTGCAATACCAACCGTCTCACGGTATCAAGAAACATGTCTACCAAGATATCTCAATTTTTACTCAAGTTAGAGCTTGCACAGACGGACAGACAGTCACCCGGATTTCAACTCGTCTCTTCATCCTGATCATTTATATATACATAACCTTATATCTAACTCGATTAGTTTTAGGTGATACAAACAACCGTTAGATGAACAAAACTATTATACTCTGTAGCAACAGGTTGCGAGAGTATAAAAAGCAACAAGAGTAGTTCTTCAAAGAATAGCCTCAATGAAAAGCCTCAATGGAGGAACGAAATTTTCCACAAGCAACACCAATTACCCAACATGAAGACACCCAAAACTAAAATACACAACCCTAATAGAAAAGACAGACACCAGCATCACTACATACCAAATTTTAGGATGCAGAGAAACGATTATCAAGAGAGAAACAGCTATCAACAAATAATATCTTCAATCAATCGCAACAACGGTAACCTGCTCCCTGCTCAATGGACGTTGATAATTCCATACGATGGACTATTGAAAAGAAATTATAACACTAGCGAACAATTACGTTTACAACCACAATACAAGCATCAATTTGGACCGAATCAGAAAATCCGATGTGGACAAAGCAATATCCATATCCCATGTCTATCACAACTTTGTGAATCAAGCAAAAGCCCATATAACTCACCTAAATAGACTGTTCAAAAAAAGGGCGCCGATGATGAAGGCAGGCCCAAAAGATGAATGGTTGTTGTAGGAAAAGCAAAGATTTTTTCTACAATCAGTTTTGGAAAAAATAATACATCTTATTTAAAAAAAATGATTAGTAAAAACTAGATCAAAAAAAAAATAAAAAATCATATCAAAAGAAACACACAAAAAAAATTACCTATATAATATGAAAAAAGAATTATTAATTATATCAGCGGAAAAACAAAATAGGTAAATAAATGCACGATAATTAAAATTATTATTATAAACATAAAAAAATAATTAAACAAAATACAATAATTAATAATACAAGTAATATTTATAATGAAGTAATGATAATAATTATAATAATAACACAAGAAAATGTCTAACCCAGCAAAAAATTTCGGAGAAGCATACGAAACTTTGAATGCCTTCGAAATGAGAACATTTCATTTCAACACAGGAGAGAGTTAAGGAACATATTCCTTATCACAGGCACGCACCCAAATGCATCAAAATATCTTCATGATACAAAATGCATCGAACACACCCTATATCTATCAGCAGCTAACAAAAATATATATTTGTTGAGGATGTCGGTCGTCGCTTTTGGATGGCATCAACGTCAGCATAGCGGTTTCCTTTCATGGCCAAATGTAGTTTTCCGAACAAATAAAAATCGCAGGGTGCCATATCAGGCGAATACAAAAAGTTTGGGTCCTTTTTGGCCTCTTTAATGGTGTCTCTTGAATGTTGAATTCTGAGGTCTTTTTCGTGTTGTTTCAAAGTGTGCGGGACAAATCGAGCACAAACCTTTCTGAGGCCCAAATTTTTTGTCAAAATACGATAAATCGAAGCTGTGGATATTGATAATTCCGATTCCATATATTTAAGCGATGATTTCGGCTCTTTTTTAATGAATTCACGCACAATTTCCGTGTTTTTTTCGTTCACAATATCTTTTGGCCGGCCCGAACGTTCGTCGTCTTCCAAGTCCTCCCGTCCCTCTTGAAAACGTTTAAACCACTCGTGAATACGGCTACGGGATAGACAATCATCGCCATAAATTTGTTTCATCATTTGATGAGTTTTGGTAAAAGTTTTACCAAGTTTAAAACAAAACTTAATGTTGGCTCTTTGTTCGATGCTCATTTTCCGACCGACACTACAAATGTAATGTCACATGAAGCGCGATATCTCAGCTGTTATACAAGTCAGCTGTTATATTAATTTTATACGACAACCCTGAAGAATACACAATTGAGGGATAACAGATCAGACAGATGGCGCCACTAGAAGCCGCGTTGTTTAAAAAGTCCTGGAACTTTTGAATTGTACCTTGTATGTTCCTAAAGTCGGGCGTGGATATAGTCTGATTTTGCCCATCTGCAATACCAACCCCTTCAGGGTGACAATTAACAGGTGTACCAAATTTCATTAGGATATCTAAATGTTTGCTCAAGTTATCGCTTGCACGGACAGACAGACATTCGGAATTAAGCTCGCCTTGTCACCCTGAGTAATTTGATATATTTAACACTTATATCTATCTCAATTAGTTTTAACAACCGTTGGGTGACTAGAACTTTCGCAACATGTTGTACAGTATAAAAATAATCTGTATCAAAATGACCACAAGCTCTGTTCATAAAAATGTCAGAGAACAAAAATTTAGAACATAATGTACATATACAATACAAAGTTAATGTATTGTAAGCACTAGGCCGGATATCTTTGTGTTTGTGTCGGTAAACATAACATTTTGAGTGGCCTCTATGAAATTCCGTTGTTTGGTTTAAGTTCACCTGTTATTTTAGTGTTTGGTTCAATTTTGGAAATTGACCGAGACACAAATTCCCAGATCAATAATAAATAATATTATATTATATAACATTAACTCATTTTTTATTTGCTAAGACTGTGTGCAGAGTTTAATTACGAGCAGAGGGCAAAGCTGATGAATGCGAGAAATAAGCTACAAAACTGTATGCGTACGTTTTCATACCAAACTGCACAGACAGTGCATAGTGGAAGCTAGTCGAAGCCGAGCGTAAAGCTGATCGATGCGAGAAAAATAGTTTTGAAGTATTTTCGGCGCCGACTCGCGAATTATTTTCATGCAATTTTGAGCACAAATATAGATTTTATACATATGTATATTGTTAAGTGTAATTTTTTCTCGCCCTGCTCTATGGGAACAAAAAAAAATTAATATAAGTTATCACAATAGAGTTTTAGTTGAAGATCTATGGAAATCAGTTGCAAGTGAAATGAATTTACAGAGTAAGTATTAATTCAGTTTATTATAGTTTATTTTTGCATAAAAATTTATATATTATTAGCATTATATAAATTTTGTGAAAACACAAATACTTTTAACATTTATTTCCGTCAGTCCTAGTTCTGTGTCAGTAGGTTTCCATAGTGTTTTAAATTTTCCATGTATAATTCCAAATGCCCACTCAATGCATTTTCTTACTCTTGAAAGTCGCTCATTAAAATATTCGTGATCTTTAGTAATTTCTTTTCTACCATATGGTAATAACAAGCATTAAAACAGCGAATGGTATGTTTATATTGGTCCCAGGCAGATCTGTATCAGCGTTATGCTTCTAAAGATGATATATATGAGAAGAGCTACAAGTACCGCAATCACTTTGCATTCATTATCCACCCACTTGTATTACTATGAATTTGCAGTTAACATCAGCTATGGCTTGTAATATTATTGAAAAAGAATGTTTAGATTTGTAATAAACGGAATCAGAATTGCTGGACATTTGATCCTTATGTGTTTTCCATAATAACTCCGATGCAACTGGGGAAGTTCCATAATTCCGATATTCGTCAGCAACCGATTTAAATACTTTTTCTGTTGGATGAGGCATGTGGTCGGGGTGCAGTTACTCCCAGATAATCTGGCATGTTTTTTTAACGATTGCTCCGGTAGTAGTGCTGCCTACCCTAATGCCCCTGTTGCAAATATCTGTTGAAAATTAAATTTATTTAATAACAAGTAAGGAAGGGCTAAGTTCGGATGTAACCGAACATTTTATACTCTCGCAAAGTCAAATGGTATACTCGTTTGAGATTTCTTTGTGGATTGACTGATATTTTCGGTAGAAGGTCAACTATAGGCACTGGGGCCCACATATTTAGTACTTAGAGGCTTGAACAGTTTTGGTTCGATTTAGACAATTTTTGGCCGCAAGGTGGCATACTTTAATTGCATTATTCACGCAAAGTTTTACCCCGATATAATCATTGTTACCTGATTTGCATAGTGGGAAGTGAAAGAATCAGATGGAATTGAAAATGGTGTTACATGGGAAGTAAGCGTGGTTGTAGTCCGATTTCGCCCATTTTCGCACTATGACATAGAAACATGAGAAAAACGTTATGCACCGAATTTGCTTGAAATCGGTTGAGCAGATCTCAAGATATGGGTTTTCACCTAAAAGTGGGCTGTGCCACGCTCACTGTCTAATTTTGAACGCGGTTCCTATAAAGTCATCTTATACCATCTCAGAGATAAAATTTAATGTCTCTGGCGTGTTTAGTGCTTGATTTATCGCGCTTTTAGTAGTTTTTAACAGTACCGTTATATGAGGAGTGGGCGGAGTTGCCACCCGATTTCAACTATTTTCACACCGTCAATAGAAGTGCTAAAAACATTTGCTTCTAGTGAATTTTGTTGTTATAGCATAAGCGGTTTAGGAGATATGCACATTAAACCTATTAGAGGCGGGACCACGCCCACTTTTTAAAAAAAAGTTTTAACTGCAGATGCCCTTCCCTAATGTGATCCTGTGTACCAAATAACAGTCTTGTATCTTGTTGCGGAGCTGGCAGTGGTCCGATTACGCCCATCTGCAATACCAACCATCTTACGGTACCAAGAAACATGTCTACCAAGTTTCATAAAGATATCTCAATTTTTACTCAAGTTAGAGCTTGCACGGACGGACGGACGGACGGACGGACAGACAGTTACCCGGATTTCGACTCGTCTCTCCATCCTGATCATTTATATATATATAACCCTATATATACCTCGATTAGGTTTAGGTGATACAAACAACCGTTAGGTGAACAAAACTATTATACTCTGTAGCAACAGGTTGCGAGAGTATAAAAAGGTCATACGTTTATTTTATTTTTATATTTTCTGAAGAAGAGGTAAAGAAAAAGTGGAAGTATATCCGCGATCAATTTCGCGCTGAATTAAATGAATTGAAATTCCTGTTCCAATCTCTGGTGATAGTGCTAATATATGATCAGATATTAATTCGAATTGGCCTTACTTTAAGTAACTTTTTTAATAGCAAATGAAGTACCGAGAACTAACTAATTTGAAGAAAACAAGCACTATTCCGACCATATTTAGGAACCGAACGAAAGAGTACAGAATGGTCTTAATATTGCAGTCGGTGGCATTAAAATTCCGACTGTTAGCGACACTAAAATTTGAGGTGTTACACACGATAGCCTGTAATCTATCACTCCGCATATGACCGCAATTATTGTCAAAGTACAGAGCCGCATGAGAAAACCCTCAAACTGCTAGCCGGTAGAACCTGAAACTACAATAAAACGTTGTTGGCCATTTACAAGGCACCGGAATGGTCGCTTAGATGTAGTGGGAGTAGATAAAGAAGTTTCAGACTTATCCGACCATTGTACTCCATACAAAGGATGATTCTTGATGTTTCCCATTAAACACCTACACAGTGATGGCATGCTTCTGGTTAACGTAGAAACTTTTGAAAAAACCATTCCCGCAGTCAACTGCTGGGTACGTAGGCACTTTTCCTTTTAACCCCGAATTCATCGTCAGACTACGGCGCCAAAGTAATCGGAATCGTACTCCATATAGCTTAACCTAACCAGCACACGTATGTCGGAGCCGATGATCATGTAGCCCTAACCAATTAGAGTGATAAATAATGAAATATTTTTAGTACGTGACATATAAAATATAAAGGTGGGCATAGAAGGATAGACAAGTAGACCCCTACAGTCCTTGGCCGGATAAAAATCCGGGTCCGTTTCGGTTACTTAGACCCGACTGCAATGGGAACGGGACCTCTGTCATTTAATTCGGTGATGTTAAAGTTGATCGTAACATTGTATTATAATGAGCTTCTATAGACAGGGATCTAACTCTGTTTGGATCGGTAAGTAATAAGTTAAACTGTCATCATTTTAGAGCAACAATGTTGCCCCATATCTGATCCTTGCTGGCATTGAGTCCAACCCGGCCCCAGGGGCCTTTTTTTGCTACGTTTGCGCCAAAACGCCCCACCATAATTCCACCTCTATTAGATGCAACTCATGCAATGGTTGGACCCATCTTAAGACCTGTTAAGGCTTTAAGCCCCATAGGGAGTGGTCCACACGTTATGTGGCCTCATGCTGCCACCGCAATTATGTTATAATAGCCTCTACGGCCGTGCAAAATGCACCTAGTTCGTACAAGGCGTCGTAACTCCAGTCGAGTGGCAAACAAGGAATCTCTACAGTCCTACGGAGCTCAACTAGGCAGCATAACTCTCAGTTTGACTAATCCCCCCTCAACCTTCATCCCGCTCCAATTCCCGAGCGAGGGCCACAAGGCAACTTCTTGTCCCTCGCACAGTCTGTTCCGTGCTTCATACCGTAATATATTGCGTAATGCAGCTGCAACAACCACCACCTGTACACAATTCCCTCACTCCCAGGATCACTACAACTTTACTGCAACAAACCCGACTTCTGTAACTGAACTGCAACGGACTATCAAGAAGAATTGAAAAGATAGTTGATACACAGCCGCTCTGATCTTCTGAGATTTGCAGGGTTCAACGAGCTACGTAAAGTTCGCGAACGAGATAGTTATGGTCGCCTATTTTTCATTTTGCACCATACAGTGCAGTATTATCTTATCGATGACGACATCTACCGCAGGGATGCTACCCTAGAATAACAGGGCATAGCTATCCGGTCAGGCGATGTCGAGCTCGAAATATTTAATATATATGTACATTCTCCCAGTTTCTTGTTGCCCAATAGGATACCACCAAAACATAGGTGCGCTGCTGGTTGGTACTTGGCGACTTCAACGCGCACTTTTGGCATTCCTGCCTGTGAAACGATGGTAGGGGGATGGAAATGGCGGAACAGATAGACGATTCGAAGTTCTGCACAATGAACGCCGAAGCCTCCATCAGAATTATGGGCAACATGGGAATATATGGCAACTCGCCTGACATCACCATCGCTAGTAGTGGCCTGATAAACAGCATAAGCTGGCGATCTTTGCTAACTCATCTATGCAGACTACAAGTATCTGTCCATAATAAGCTCGATCGAAAAACTCTCTGACTTTATTTCTGTGGACAACCGCACCTACGATAACTTCAACAAAGCTAACTGGGTCGGCTTCACAGAATTCACCGCTGGTAGAATTCAAGAATCCTCCTCTACGCCGGAGTGAGCAAGCTTTACTATCAAATTCCTGTACTGTCTGACTGTCTTCGTAGTGTTGGACACAGTCAACCATACAACGCTACTTGAGGGCATCTAACAAACCACATGTGACATGTGTTCAAAATTGAACGTCTATCTCCAAGAAGTTTCTGGCTTCTTCACTGGTAGGAACCTATGACTCTCCTCTGTCAAATCCACGGCCACCGTATTTGCAAAATGGACGAAGGAGTACAAATTGAACCTCAACAATTCCGTCGATGATGTCGAAATTCCGCTAAAAATAACCATACAATTTTAGGTATCACACATCAGACAGTCTACTCTTTCTCTCCGCACACAACCGCGCTTGCCACAAAAGTACAGAGCCGCAACAAAATCCTCAAGTCGCTAGCCGGCATTACTTGAGCAAAGACAAAAAGACGTTGTTGGCAATATACAAAGAAATCGGCCGGCCGGTCATCCACTATGCCGCCCCAATATGGTCGCCTGGATGCAGCATGACGTAGATGGAGAAGATTTAGACCTGCCACAACACCGCACTCCGGACTACATCAGCATGCCTTGTGATGTCTCCTATCGAACATTTACATAACCAGGCCCACATTCTTCCTGTTAAGAAGCATAAAACATTTCTCTCCAAGCAGTTTTCGCTTTGATGTTTTCGCCAAATCATCACCTGCTTGAAGTGGACATCAGGCGGCCAGGTTTCGGAAACGCCCGACTTCCGACAGGCACTGAACTCCATTCACAGTAGAGATTTTAACACTTTCATTGACTTCCTCTGAGTAATCGCGTAGTGGAGTCCAAACACCACCCATTGCAGAACAAGAGCTTGAGTTGCAGCGTTAAGCTAATGTGACCCTAGCGCATCTTCGCTCTGGGTGTTGTAGCAGGTTAAACTCCTACTATATGTGTTAAGCTCCTTGCAGCGAAAAAGCGAGAAAGTTCTTGGAGATAGCCGTTTGCTTTTGAGCACTTGCCATCAATTCCATTGCTCAACGTCAGGATCGTGCAGTCATCTGAGTACGAGATCATGGGAATTTCCTCTGGTGGTTGGAGGAGTTTTAAGATGTAGAAGCAATAGCGGGAAGAGGACACCATCCCTGCCTTGTTGATGATACTCTGAACCTCCTCATCGGTGAAAGTAAGTAGCACACCGGTAGATAGGTTGCAGGACTTCAAGTGCTCTATCTATTTTGTTCGCTTGCCGTATGCTCCGTATGGTAGGAACTCATCAAAACAGTTCGATTCCTGTGCCTGGATAATCGTTACAACAACAATGAGCTTCTATGAAGAACTCAAATCGTTAAGTCATTCCTGAAATACTATTGCGCTATAAAATCTGTTTATGTTAACTTTTATGCACGTATTGGGTCGGCTAAGAATACCATCCCAGGATTCAATGGATAAAATGGGTATGGGCGGATTAAGGAGGTCCTCCAGATCAAAAATATATATATAGATATAGCAGCGGGAAACTTATAGTTATCGAGATATTTACGCTTAAAATTGGGTACAAAATCTTTTGAACTAAAATAAAAGTTTGAACAATTAAGAAATTTTTTTTTATTAAATCATATCTTTTCGATTAAGAACATCTACTTTTTTTCAAATTATTCAATAAACAAAAGCCACAGAGTTCATTTTCATTTTAAAAACAATTAACTTAAATAGAAAAAGTATCCGCTCATCAACCAGAACACAATAATATCAAGTAATTATAAAAAGTTTAATAGCTGGTTTGGTAGCCTCGAAATTTTAGAGCTTCTGCTAGACGTTTAGGCATAGAATGTACTAATTTTCTCGTATCTTGGGCTGACATTTTACTCCATTCGTCCAATATAACGGTCTTGATAATTTCTTTGCTGGTAATCGTATGTGTACGAATTCTGCGCTCCAAAGGCAAACAAGTTCCGCTGTTGCTTAGGGTCATTGGTCTGTTGGAAAAAAAACACGATTGGCAATCCGAATTTGTCAGCACTTTGCTTCATTTGTCGTTTTAAAATATATAGATAAACAAATTTATTCATTATATTTTCGATAAACTCAATGCCACCAACTCCACTTGGTACCATACACCCCCTCAATTAAACTCCACCCCCACCATGCTTTACGGTTGAAGTAAGATTTCGCGCTTTAAAGGCCGTACCAGTTTTTCGTCACACCATCTGTCTTCCTTTTTTTCCTAATATACTATATTTGGTCTTATGTTCGTTTGCGAATGCAATTCGCTTCATACGGTTTTTTAAGGAAACGAATGGCTTATTGTTTTTTTTAAATCGTATTTTTACATCTTCTGCTATTTGGGAAATGGTTAAACGCGGATTAACCTTTACAAGAGGTACAACTTTGCGTGTTTCCCGATCAAACGGACGTCCAGATCAAGGCTTTGAAGTAATAATACCCGTTTTTTTTGAAAGTCTGGATAACGTATCGCACTGATGACTCCGTTCTGTTGACAACTCGTCCAATTTCACGAAAGCTTTTACCGTCCTTCCATAATTTTAATCTTATCTCATCAACACTTATTTCTTTGCCTTTTGCACTCATTTCGATTAAAGCTGAATAATTCGAAAAAATTTCTCACGAATTGCAGATTTTTCGTTCGATTATCTAAATCTGTATTATTAACAAAGCACAAAAAATTATCAGGTCTTAAACGCGTAGAAACTACAATAAACTAATGTAATAAGCAGTGAGCGAATACTGTTTCTGTTTATTCTCCATTCGTACAATTCAAAAAATGCTTAATATAATATTTACTTTGCAAACGCACATACGAATTCCATGAAATTTCGCGACTGTAATGCTATTAGCATGCGCATCTGATATTCTGAAAAGAACTTCAAAAACGCATTTTATTAATATTTTTATTGAAACACATTCCACGGATTGGTGAGCGGAGACTTTTTCAACCTAGTGTATATTTTTCACTTTTATATCCACTAACACTTCACTAATTCGTTTTTAGACATTTATTTTATATTATATGATGCAAAAATAGCTTTATTTTAATCATTCTTCAATTCTATTAATTTTGACAATAACAAAAGGGTTGTAAACCTATATCCATATTCTTCATCTGAAGGATCTCCCCTATCCGCCCATACCCATTTTATCCCGACAGCCAGGGACGGTGTTCTAAAGTTTTCCCCACGTATTTTCGGATTCATCAATGTTTACTTACTTATTTAATACAATTACTTAAACATAGATATTTGAATAACTTTTGTTCACTACATTGACCAATAGGAACAAAAAATGGTTTAAAATATTGCAATGTAATAATTAAATTTAAATTAAGAAAATTTAAAAAAATTTATGGCTGGGCAATTTATGGCTTCCCAGATAAAATGGGTATAGGCTGATAGAGGATGTAATCCTGATTAAGAATATGGGGAAACTTTAGTATACCCTCCCACCATTATAGGATTAAAAGGGGTATGGTTGGATAGAGGCGATTCTCCAGATCAAGAATATATATTATTATAGCCGCCGAAAACTTAAGAGTTTTCGAGATATTTGCATTTTAAGTTGAAAATTGGACAAATTTTATCTAGTAATTTCTCGATTTGTAGTTAATTTTTCTTTTATATTATGCACTTATTAAACACTGACACTTCACTTCATTACTTCTACATACTTATTTCATATGATTTATTTTCATATTTGCTATAAATTAGGATTTTATTTTTTACACAGATTTCGTTATACCCACAATAACAAATAGGTTCCATGATGACAAATGTTAAACGTTGACATATTCAAACGAATGAAAGCAATCAAAATAAAAATACCCTCTACAAAATATTATGAACTAAATTTTCTATTTTAATAAAAGAAAAAGGATTTAGAGCTTATAAGTATGTTTTATTGACTCTGTTCGTTGCGTATGGATTTTTTTTTGGTTAGATTTCCTTTCCGCGCTTATAAAAAATATCGCCGATCCAACACCGGGGTGGTCCTAATCCCTTTCGCGTTCTACTTCTCTCTAAAATGGCGTTTCAAAAATATAATCCCGGCCGATCCAATACCGTAATTTATCAAGAGAGGGGAACGAAAAGAATTATGGTTCATGTATTTGGGGTATAATCCAATTTTATTATTCATTTTAATTCGTTTGCAATATATAAATCTAAATATATATATATAATAGACTAGGCGCCCTCCGCTGCGCTCCGGGACCCTCGCTTCGCTCGCTCGCCTACGTCCGCCCACCGCCGAGCGCGAGCTAGCTCGCTCTTATGTTAGTTGATTCTCGACAGCAGCAGAAAACTTTTATATATAATAGAGAGATATGGCTACACTTATTATTTCACAAAATGGAACCCATTTGTTATTGTGGATATAACGAAAATTCTTAAAATATAAAGAGCTTATTTAAAGCAAATAGAAAATAATTGATATAAAATAGATATGTAGAAACAATGTAGTGAAGTGTTAATGTATAATCGAGTAAAAAATCGAGAAATTGCAAAATAAAATTATTCAAATTTTCAACTTAAAATGAAAATATCTCGAAAACTAAATTTTCGGCGGCTATGATATTATATATTCTTGATCTGAAGTATCTCCTCTATCCAACCATACCTATTTTAACCCTGAGCTCGTGGGATGGTATACCAAAGTTTCCCCATATATATATATATATATAGGGTTCCAAAAATTCACAAATTCAGGTATGCAATTTTTCTATGATTTATGAATTTTTACTTATTTTATTTAATATTATATGCAGTAACTCATCACTAAATAGTTTTTACACATTTATTAAATCATAAATAGTGCACAGATAGTTTTAAATCGTAATCAAAGTTTTCTTAAATTTTACTTATTTACACAATCACAAAACGTGCAAACAAATAATAAGAGTTGCCATACCCATATTTTGCAATTGAACAAAAAAACAAAAAAAAAACGTTAACTTCGGTTGCACCGAAGCTATAATACATTTCACAAATACAAAGGCCCCTTACAAGAACTTGATTCCGAACGTTCAATTTGTATGGTAGCTATATGATATAGTCATCTGATCTGACCAATTTCTGCGGAGAATAATTTGTTGCCTTAAGCGATAACTCGTGCCTAATTTCTTGAAAATACCTCGTCAAATGAACAAAACTTCCTTGCAAGCACTTTACTCCGATCGTTCAGTTAATATGGCAGCTTTATGCTATATTCATACGATCTATACAATTTCTTTGGCGATTAGATTATTGCCTCAAATAATAATCCATGCCAATTTTCGTGAAGATACCTCGTCAAATGAATAAGTTTTCCATACAAGTACTTCATTCCGATTGTCCAGTTTGTATGGCAGCTATATGCTATAGTCATCCGATCTGAATTTTTTTTTCAGAGATTACATGGTTGCCTTAAATAATAATCCATTCCAAATTTCGTGAAGACACCTCGTCAAATAAAAAAGTTTCCCATACAAGTACTTAATTCCGGTTGTTCAGTTTGTATGGCAGCTGTGTGCTATAGTGGTCCGTTCCGACAAATGAGCAGCTTCTTAGTGAGAAAAAGACAGGTGCAAAATTATAGATCGATAGCTTAAAAACTGAGGGACTAGTTTGTATATATACAGACAGACGGACATGGCTGAATCAACTCAGCTCATCATACTGATCATTTAAGCATATATTTAATAGGGTCTCCGACGTATCCTTCTGGGTGTTACAAACTTCGTGGCAAACTTAATATACCCTGTTCAGGGTATAAAGATGAAATGAAAAAAACTGCAAATACAAGAAATCCCCGTATTCGGGGGATGCTACACTAAATTTTCCCAATTTAATATTTACATTTAAATTTTTCCTGTGTCAACTTATACAGCAAATCGAAGTCGCCTACAGTTTTTGGTTTATAACCTAATCGGGTTTGAGGCCTAGACGCACTATTACAAAGATAATTTGGTGTCGTAACCACGTTCCGTGATGAGGATACATTGGAGCAAGTGCTAATGGCTCTAGCATCAACTAAGTGGTGTAGGGGTATATTGTCATCAAAAATTCTCATATTCAATACTCGACTTCCATTTTGGGATTTTTGGATGCACACAACTTTTTTGGGCATGCTACAAAATTTAGCGCACTTTAAATTTGTTCCATTTTTTTTGGTCATATATTTTGGAAAAATTGCAGGACGTAGAAGCTTCGCAGTAACTCGCGGGAAAAAACATAACGAAAGCATAACTGAATTATTTTTAATAATGGCGATGAACTTCTCACTTTTTATACACATAAAACTACTGACTTTTGTTTATTTCAATGTATTTTTTTCACGCTTAACAATAAAAAGATGTCTGCACTAATTTCCGGGCATTGTATAAATCAACAAGTAACCAATCCCAAGATTTTCACTAATACACACGCAAAAATGTCCCACTCAAAAATTCTACTACTAAAATCACACTTGGTACAGGTTGCCAACCAATATTCTGCTACTAAAATCACACTTTGTACGGGTGGCAACAATATTCTACTACTAAAACGTTCAAATGACAGAAATCTGCTATAGTGTGTTACCGTGTTATGTTTTAAAATTAATAACTTTAAGAATGTTTTTATTCCATATTCAAATATTTTTCAGTTGTTTTAATTCCTAAAGATTAAATTTACATAGTATTATTTAAATTATTATTTATTATATTGAAATATTATTAAATGTTTCCAATTTTATCTTTTTTAACTTACATGTTTATGTTTTTGTGAGTGAAAATTCTTTGTCTGTTGAATATTTAAATTCTTAGTTTAACGATTTAGTCCTGTGGAAACAAACACCCAAAAAAGATCGGTAACGCGCCTATATTGCAATCTCAGAGGTGGTGAGGAAAAGCAATGGGAAAACTTTAATTAAGCATCCCACGATTTCAGGGATAAGAGGGGTATGGTTGGTTAGAGGAGATTCTCCAGATCACGAATATATATAGCTATTGGCGCCGGAAACTTATAGTTTTCCAGATATTTCCATTATAAGTGCAAATTGTTAAACTACAACCTTTTATTTAAAACTCTGTGTCAAAAAAAGGCATATTCGATCAGGTGACCACGGCTGTTTCACACACATAGGAAAAACAGCTGATTCTTTGGCTACTTGTAGGCTTATACAATGCCCTAGGCAAACTTGACGATTCTCCATGGACATCTTTTACTTATTACTATTGTGACGAACACGGATGATAGAACAAAATCGAATCAACGATAAATTGCCAGAAGCAACTAGACAGCGAATTCGTAGTTGCCAGAATGTTCTAGAAGCAATGTTTTGTTACAGATTTACTATATAAGGGCTGCCGGATTGTGCAGCAAAGACAGTTCTAATTAGAGTGTTGTCGTGATAAGAGCAATCAAGCTATAAGCAAGAAGTTGTAAGCTCGAATAACGAGCAATAAGTGTTAAGTTGTTTTAATTAGAAATAAAGATAAGTGTGTAGCCATTAAATTGGGACTTTTATTTAACAATCCAGTGATCGAACTCAAGAGTGAGTTACAGGTAGACGATTTATCGAGAAATCCGTTACAATTGGTGTCAGAAGTGGGATTGTCAAATTAATTCCCAAGGAGATAATTATTTAAAAATGGCCAAGTTTAACGATCTGAAGACTCCACAACTGAAAAAGGAGCTGGAAAAACGTGGTTTGGCGACAAATGAATTAAAAACTGAATTACAATCACGGTTGAGAGAGGCCATGGAGGCGGAAAACATTAATGTTGAGGAATATGTCTTTCACATAGAATTAGAAGAAGAGACAACAAAGATAGAAGAGAAGGAAGAGGCTCAATGCTCGTCAAAGATGGTGGACATGAACATGCTTTTTTTTGCAATATCGCAGATGGGGACGCAGATGTCAACGCAAATGTCGACACAATTTAAAGAGCAGGATACACGTATGTCTTAGATGTCAACGCAGTTAGAAACGCGATTGTCAATGCATTTGGAAGAGCAGTTCATAGCGCCAGATGCACGTATATCAGCGCAGGTGTCCTCACAGTTGAAAGAGCAGGATGCACGGATATCGCAGGTGACCTCACAAATAGCAGAAGTGTCCTCACAGATTTCGGAAGAACGGAATAAAATTAAAACTGAAATGGATGAATTGAGAGATCGTCTCCGTGAGCTACAATTAAATCGGCCAATTATGTCGTCAGCTTCTGCCAAGGTAAAGCCTCCATCCTTTGATGGCACTGCTCCGTTCCACGTTTTTAAGCTTCAATTCGAAAAGACGGCATCTTCAAATAATTGGAACGCTGAAGACAAAGAAGACAAATTGTTCGTTGTATTAAAAGGATCTGCAGCGGAGATATTACAGACCATTCCAAACTGCGAGGCGAGTAGTTATGAAACGTTGATGGGTGCATTAGAAAGACGGTATGGTTGTCACTTTATGTCCTTAGCTACTTCCTTTTGAAAAGGGAACACTTTGGACTCAGCTTCAGACCAGCGCTAGCTATCCGTTGGAAAACCTCTTCCAAGTTCTTAAGGTGTTCATCGAAGTTTTACCCAACACGATGATATCGTCGAGGTTTACCCAACAGTGTCTTTCGTGTAATCTTTAATACCTGGTCCATAAGTCTCTCAAAGTAGCAGGAGCGTTACATATCCAAAGGCATTACGGTAATTGTCATAAACCATCTCCAACGCTGAAAGCCGTCATTTCTTGTCTTCTTCTTTACCTCCACTTGCCAATAACCACTTTTCAAATCAAGTGTTGAGAACCATTTTGTGCCTGATAACGAGTCCAGTGTGTCATCGATTCTAGGTAGTGGATAACTGTCTTTCTTTGTTACATCATTCAACCTTCTATAGTCCACACAAAATCTCATGTGCCATCTTCTTTTTACAAGTACTACAGGTGAGCTCCCACGGACTCTCGATGGTTCGATTACGCCGCTTTCACTCATTTCACGTATGGTCTGGCACTAACTTCACGTTTGCTAAGGAACGCTTCGAGGAGCCTGTCGGATTGGTCTTGCATCACCTGTGTAATGAAATGTTTCACAACTTTGTTCTTCCTGGTTTGGCATCGTCTTTATCAATATATGAGTATCTGAGAAGAAGTTGTTAGCCATAATTTGATGGTTTGCCTCTAGTTCCTTGGTCCATTCGTTTATTTCGCCTCGATATTCGTTTTCGTCCATGGAATCTTCCTCAAGACGTATTTCGCAATTTACCACGGCCTCAATCTTGACACTGCCCTAATATAGCTCCTTGAGAGTTTGATTGGTAACTTGCACTCATTAAGTACTCTTACTGGAACACGTTTATCTTGTCTTGTCATAGCCAGGGTTTGCCTATAAGTAAGTTAGGTGTAGATTCTTTGTGGCCCAACAATCCACCACTTGTTTGGCCCATAGTCTCCATCTATTTTGCCCAAATAACTGCTTCTGATGTTGGTGGAATCTGTTGGCTCTCTGTTGTTTATCACTCGTCTGATTGTATTTATTATCGTAACCGAACATAAGTGGCACTATATTCTATAGGACATAATCCTGTTTTCCATGTCAATTTTGATTCCTTGATTCGCTAGAAAGTCCTCCAATATGACTTCGTCAACGATGTGCCCCTATAAATTGTGTAACACGGCTGCCTTTCAATTACGATCTCGCACGTTACCTTTCGAGAACTGGGTATCTTCTCCAGTTGCAGTACGCAACTTTGCCTCACTAATGGTCTCACTTCTTCTCAACCAGATCAGATCGAATGTGATGCTTTTTTACCGTCTACACATCCATATGGTAACGTTACTCGTATTCTGCTTATTTGTGAAATGGAGATTACAGGGCATTGCTTGCGAGAGACCAGCCTGTGCCCTTTTGGCTGGCTCGCTTTAGTTAAAGATTGGTTTGATTTGACATTTGCTTGATCTCCTCAGCTTTGCGTTTACGTCCAACTGGATTATTGGACTGGTTACAGTTGCGTCCCAATATGGGCCCCTGTTTCGTACGTTAGCAT